TACTGCATTAAGGTTTTTTTCGCTGGGCTAGTTTTTTTCCAAGTGCGCAGGCTGTCCTTCCTTAGTGGACTGTAGGGCAGTGGAGCTCCCTCTGTCAACTTCCTTTTCCCAGCTTTCTGACCTCCAGCCTAGAGGCAGAACCTCCCTTCTCTGGGGTCCCCTCCCAGGCTACACAGCAGCACACCTCAGCACTCCATCTTCCACCCAACTCCCCATGCTGGCGAGGCTCTCTCATATTTATGGGCTGATTTGGTCAGCTTGCCAGGCCTCCCATAGGACTCCCATAAATATGCAGATCAGCACTTTCTGGCCTCCACCCACTAGCTTCTAGAAACTTCTCCAAGCTTCTAGAACCAAGGGCCTGACCTGTAGAGCCCTTCAGCTTGACCTAAGGTAAACTCATTGACCTAGGCTTTTAACAAGCCTCTAACTACACCACAAACTAGGTATACCAGAGGGCGCTACAATTGCACACAGTTTTTGAAGGAACTTGGCAAGTAGGTCATCCCAAACATCCTAAAGAACTAACCGCCAATCTTCTGTAGATGTAGGCTGCTTCAAATCCTTCTGACCCTTCATGTAATCCCATACAGACTTGATGATGTTGAGATCAAGGCTCTGTGGGGGACAATCCATAACTTCCAGAACCCCTTGTCCTTCTTTACGTTAAAGATAGTTCTCAATGATACTGGTTGTATGCTTGGGGTTGTTTTCCTGCTGCAGAATAAATTTGGGGCCAATCACAATCCCTCTCTGATGGTATGGCATGATGGATGAGTATCTGCCTGTATTTCTCTGTACATCTCACACCACTGATCCTGACCAAATATCGATTTGCAGAAATGCAAACCCAAACTTGTAAGGAACCACCACCACACGTCACTGTTGACTGCAGGCACTCATTATTGTACCGCTATCCAGACCTTGGGTGAACAAACTACCTCCTGATACAACAAAATATTTTAAATTTTGACTCATCAGTCCAGAACACCAGAAGCCATATTTCTGCATCCCTGTTCCTATGTTGAGTCTCTTAGCCTTGTTGCCACATCAGAGGTTTGGCTTTTTGGCCACAATTCATTTGTAAAGACCACTTCTGGCCAGACCTCTCCAGACAGTAGATGGGTGTACCTGGGTCCAACTGATTTCCCAAGTTCTGTACTGATGACACTGTTGGACATCTTCTGATGTTGAAGGGAAATAAGAATAATGTGTCTTTCATCTGCTGCATTAAGTTTCCTTGGCCAAACACTGCGACTACAGTCCTTAGCTTTGTCAGTTTGTTTGTGCTTTTTCACAGGAGCTTGAACAGCACTTCTTGAAACCCCAGTCTTCTTTGAAATCTTCCTTGCCTGGGAGAGACCTTGCTGATGGAGTATAGCTATCTTCTGTCTTGTTGCTGTGTCTTGCCTTGATATATGACCTGTGACATGAAACTGTCTTTCACAACCTTTCCTTAGTAGCAGAGTTTGGCTGTTCCTTGCCCAGTTTTAGGCCTCCTACATGGATGTTTCTTTCAGTTAATGACTGTGTTTCAACATACATATGAAACCATTAACACCTTCTTGATGTAATTGGTTAATCATACAGCTAACTCTAATCCTACAATATCCCTGAAGTGTACAAAGTGTGCAAGTATAAGAATTGATGTTGGTTTGAAGCCAAGGGGTAGTCATACCAAACATTGATTTGATTTAGATCTTTCTTCTGTTCACTCACTTTGCATTTTCTAAAATGGTAAAAATTAACAATTAAAATATACTTAAAGCATTCTTACCTTACAGCATTTCTGTAAGGTAAGGTACGATTTTCTGCTTAAAACTTTTGCACAGTACTGTATATACAGTAGTATATTTATGCCGTATTTACTATATACTACTATATACTTTATATATCCCCCCCCCCCCCTTGAGGGATGCAGCACACCAACTTGATGCTAATGGTTCAAATGGTACTGAAGTGGTAACTGAAAAGCCACACTGCACTCTCCTTTCTGGTGTGTGTGTGTGGGGGGGGGCTTCAAATGTTAATCCCTTGAAGACCTTAGGAAGCTGGAATCTAGCTCCATCTGGGGTGTGTTAGTTGCTTGGTTCCTCCCCGGTTGAGTGCTCTGGTTGCACCCATGAACCCTTACGTCCCTGCAGGACATCTCATTTTGCAGGCTTGTTTTTTTAGCTTCAATTCACTAGTGGTGGGGTCATTTCAAAGCTGATATGAGATTTTGGTGAGATTCTAGTGACCGAGCCTGCTGTCAGTGGCCTTTGGAAAGGAAAAAAATCTCTCGGCAGATGTTGGAGAGAAAAAAGGAATCAGTAGCAGTATCTAGCAGAAACAAAAATGTATGAAGATGGTGGTCAGTCTGAGGAGAAAAAAAAAAAAATGATCATTGGAGGAAGATTGCCCTGATGCTGGCAGTCCGAGGGGGTCACTGGAAAAAACATTGGTGGCAATGGTTGGGCTTGAGGGGTACATTGGAGGTCAATGGGAGTTTCCTATTTATTCATCTCCAGTGCAGCTGAGGAATTTATGTCCATATTCTCTTTCTCTGTATCAAAAAAGAAACTTTTTTAGACCTCTGATATTTCACCAAAGCCCCCCTACCCCCCAACAGGGTAGTTAAAAAAAAATATGTAAATAAATAAAACTCTAAAAAAAAATGATTTTTAAAAATAAAATTGTAAAAAAAAGGTAAATAAATTAGGGGGTCATCCACATTCGGATTGCTAATCAGAGAGCATTTGACAGACAAGCACTCACACACCTATCAAATTAGGACTTGTGGCTGTGATTGTACAGCTGCTGTCCCTCATAGCCTAACATAAGGTGCCTGCACACAGCTTCAAGGGGCTGCAGCCACATAAATAAACCACCAATTAACACTGAACAGGCCACAGAGTCCATGTGAACAAGCCCCAAGAGTCAGATAAAAGATTCCTGTAAAATGATCGGCTTCCATTGCAGTCTTTTAAAGATCCCAGTGGTCATCTCTGGATCATATCACAGAACCTTCTAAAGTTGTTGTAATTCAGTTTTCATACATTTATTTTCAGTTTTATTGACTACAAAAGGAAACCAGGAAAAGTAATAAATGTATGTCTGGAATTTCTGATTCATTGTTAATTTGTTTTAGTTACAAAAGAGAACAGAGCTAAAAACTCCCAGAAAATGTTATATTATAATGAGTGATAATCCTCCCCATAATACCCACTTTCTACGGGTCACTGGCGGTATAAACGAAACGTTTAGAAGACATAACATATCGTTTTCTGTCATGGTAACAGAAGAATGAAGATCCAGTCCTCGTAAAGACACTTTTTAACAAATAAGGGATTATAGCTAACCCGCAGCTTCATCAGCAACTTAAGACGTCTTTTCAGTATCAGAAATCCTCAGTGCAGTTACGGTTCAATGCGCGGCGTTCGGGAGCCATGGAGGCTGCGTCTACATTACCATAATCATACTGTACAATCTTATTACAGCTTTCTTCTTGTACCTGCTCATCCCTAAATCACTGAATGTCTCTCTGATGAAAGGAAGACGCTGGATTAGATGATAAAGCAATCTATTTGAATAAGCCATCTTTTTTTAATCATGTTACTTTTTGGAGATTAAGTGAGGGTTTTTTTTTTTAATAGTTTTGTTTTATATAATGGAATTGTCACGTTCAAAAAATAAATCTCCGATTCATGAAATAAAAGTACAGATTGAATTCTTGTAGGATAACTTTCAATTACAGGCCCCTGCTGAGTCACATTTATTATTTTTAAAGACAGAATTGTGATCATTTTGTCAGATGTGATTTAAAGGTTTCGATATATTCGGGATCCGTCTTCCCAGCGATGTATCATTGCTGTGCCTGAGTTTGCAGATGTGTCATGGTGGTATAGAACTGCAGACAGGAAGAACTGGTGGAAAACACTAGCAGCATCCAATAGTGGCCAATAGACTGTGCAGATCCCAGCTCTCAGCTAAGGCCCCACTGAACTTTCAGATTAAAGTGGTTGTAAACATGGCCGGATCTAGGGGGTTGCTAGGGTGGGCTATGCCCCCCCCCCCCCCCATTTTAGTTGTCCCCCCCCCCCAAAGCAATCCCCCACACCCCATCCACCCCAAATGCTCTGCCTGCTCGATTAACCAGCTGTACTTTCCCTTTCCTTGCAGCTTTGCAAACGTTCTACTAATTGTGCTGTCCAGCTACATCGATGATTGGTTCAGCAGAGGGGCCCGGCAGGACAGGGGAGACTACATGAAAACTCCCCTGTCCTCTAATTAGCATCAAGATCTTTAATCCCTCTGGAGGCAGCCGGAGTGGGTGGGGCTGGGGGTGGCCTCCTCCCACAGACTCCTTCACTGCCTGCTCCAAAACTGAAGAAGGGGAAAGGGGAGGAGTGGACACAAGAGCCCTGGAGTCTTCATCTTGAGGCAAGTGGTAATTGACTGAGCAAACTGTCACTGTCACACTGTCACTGTCAACCCTAACCTGTCCTTGTACTGCCACTATACTACCCTAATCTGTCAATATACTGCCCTAACATGATACTATACTCCCCTAATCTGACACTATGCTGCCCTAATCTGACACTATGCTGCCCTAACATGATACTATACTACCCTAATCTGACACTATGCTGCCCTAATCTGACATTATGTTGCCCTATTCTGTCACTATACTGCCCTAATATGTCTCTATTCTGCCGTATTCTGAAACTATACTTCTCTAATCTGACACTATACCACTCTAATTTGATACTATACTGCCTTAATCTGATACTTTACTGCCCTGGCCGGACACTATACTGATCTCAGCTATCTGTGTGAGGATAGAGGAGGAGGAGCTATGCTGTCTGTGCCCAGGCTGTGTACAGTGGATGGGAGAAGGTGCTCTGCTGAGTGTCCTACCAGCAGTGACCCCTGACCCTGCCAGCAGTGACCCCTGTCCTCCGCCCTGCCAGCAGTGACCCCTGTCCTCCGCCCTGCCAGCAGTGACCCCTGTCCTCCGCCCTGCCAGCAGTGCCCTGCCAGCAGTGACCCCTGTCCTCCGCCCTGCCAGCAGTGACCCCTGTCCTCTGCCCTGCCAGTTGTGACCCTTGTCCTCCACCCTGCTGACCCCTGGATTCAGCTCCGCTGTCCTCTATCCTCAGATCTGCTGATCCCTCTCTTCCTTGCTGATCCCTGTACACTACCCTACAAACTCTTGACCCTATCCTCTGCTCTGCTGACCCCCTGTACACTGCCCTTGTTGACCTCCTCTGTGCCCCTGACATTTTTAATTGCACCCCCACATCAGACAGGCTAGATCCGGCCCTGGTTGTAAACCTCAGACATGAAATCTAAACAAAGCATAACCTTCTATAGTGTACTTGTCTCAATTAAGTGTCATTTCTGTCCACTGCTTCATTCCTCTGCTATCAGCATGAATCACTTCTGACAAGTTTTCCTGACACCAAGAGAAAAAAGATGATGGGGAGGGAGCTCCAGCACACAGCCTATGATTGACAGCCTCATCTCTTTTCTTGTGTGCTGTGTAATGGGGGTGTGTCTCTTCACTTCAATCAGCTCTCACTGAGCATCGCAGAGTGTAACTTCAGCTCCCTGCCCCCTGTTTTCTGAAAGCTCAGACAAACTTTATAAATTCTGAACTAATGCAAAGCAGAGAAGTCTGCATAAACAGGTACACCTTATGCAGGAGAATTTGTTTAATCTCTGTGTATCACCTGAGGTCAGTCACTTCACTAGGTATACTGTATGTAAGGGCTAAAAAAACACTTTAAGGCTGGGTTCACATCTGTGCAGTGCCCTTTAGGTGCAAAGCATTGAACAATATATAATATGCTTTTGTAATTAAAGTGCATAAACAGATGCAACAAGGATTTTTTTTTAAATGCGCCTCACCTAAAGTGCATGTAAAATGAACAGATGTGAACAGGGCCTAACATCAGCTAAACTTATTCCAGGTTCATAGATACAAAAAGTGTGCAAATTGATAGGGGTCTATTTATTAAAAAAAAAAAAAAAAAAAGAAACTTCTGTATGGCTGTTACAAACAATCTCACAGCCCCAATGAAAAATCCGATTATTTCCTATGATCGTAAGCACCATCTAGTGGCTATACTACACTGCTCAAAAAAATGAAAGGAACACTTTTTAATCAGAGTTTAGCATCAAGTCAGGTAAACTCCTGGGATATTGATCTGGTCAGTTAAGTAGCAGAGGGGGTTGTTAATCAGTTTCAGCTGCTTTGGTGTTAATGAAATTAACAACAGATGCCGTGGATGGGCAACAATGAGATGACGCCCAGAACAGGAATTGTTTCCCAGGTGGAGGCCACTGACATTTTTTCCCTACTCATCTTTTCTGACTGTTTTTCACTAGTTTTGCATTTGGCTAGGGTCAGTGTCACTACTGGTAGCATGAGGCGATACCTAGACCCTACAGAGGTTGCACAGGCAGTCCAACTCCTCCGGGATGGCACATCAATACATGCCATTGCCAGAAGGTTTTCTGTGCCTCCCAGCACAGTCTCAAGAGCATGGAGGAGATTCCAGGAGACAGGCAGTTACTCTAGGAGAGCTGGACAGGACCGTAGAAGGTCCTTAACCCATCAGCAGGACTGGTATCTGCACCTTTGTGCAAGGAGGAACAGGATGAGCACTGCCAGAGCCCTACAAAATGACCTCCAGCAGGCCACTGGGGTGAATGTCTCTGACCAAACAATCAGAAACAGACTTCATGAGGGTGGCCTGAGGGCCCGACGTCCTCTAGTGGGCCCTGTGCTCAATGCCTGGTACCATAGAGCTCGATTGGCATCTGCCATTAAACACCAGAATTGGCAGGTCCACCACTGACGCCCTGTGCTTTTAGATGAGAGCAGGTTCACCCTGAGCACATGTGACAGACGTGAAAGGGTCTGGAGAAGCCGTGAAGAACATTATGCTGCCTGTAACTTTGTTCAGCATGACCGTTTTGGTGGTGGGTCAGTGATGGTCTGAGGAGGCATATCCATGGAGGGATATACAGACCTCTGCAGGCTAGACAATGGCACCCTAACTGCCATTAGGTATCGGGATGAAGTCCTTTGACCCATTGTCAAACCCTACGCTGGTGCAGTGGGTCCTGGGTTCCTCCTGGTGCATGACAATGCCCGGCCTCATGTGGCGAGAGTATGCAGGCAGCTCCTGGAGGATGAAGGAATTTATATCATTGAATGGCCCCCATGCTTGCCTGACCTAAATCCAATAGAACACTTCTGGGATATCATGTTTCAGTCCATCTGACACTGCCAGGTTGCACCTCAGACTGTCCAGGAGCTCAGTGATACCCTGGTCCAGGACACCATCCGTCGTCTCATTAGGAGCATGCCCCGACGTTGTCAGGCACGCATACAAGCATGTGGGGGTCATACAAACTACTGAGGAGCATTTTGAGTTGCTGCAATGAAATTTCAGCAAAATGGACTAGCGTGATGCACCATTTTTTCACTTTGATTTTCGGGGTGTCTTAGAATTCAGTCCTCTGTAGGTTGATTTTCATAATGGGGCATCCTTACATTCCTAACACATTACCCAGTCCATATCAGTATAGATATCCAGCAGGAGATTTTTCCCCATTGAGATCTGATGTGTTTTCAAAGTGTTCCTTTAATTTGTTTGAGCAGTGTACAGTATATATTTCTCCTTAAAGCAGAACTAAACTTCCAAAAGAAAGTTAGTTATGCCTTCAGGTTGGGTTCACACATATGCGGTGTGGTGTGGTAGATCGCATGTGATTTGCACAGGAAACCGCACTGCACTCCTGTGCAAATCACATGCAATTTGTGTGCGGTGCGATTTGAGCCATACATTTCGTATGGCTCCAATCGCACCGCACCCGCACCAAAATGGTACAAGATCCTTTTTTTGCTCTGCACTAGAATTGGATCGCATGGGTATTCACACCCCTGAGATCCAATTCTGCACATCACACTGCGTTTTGCGGACCGATTTCAGGGTGTTGTGAACTTAACATACACACCCGCAGCGGTTCGCATGAACGGGGTGCGATTCTGATGCGGTGCAGAATTCACACAGAAAACGCTGCAAATTCTGCACTGCAGCAGTGTGAACCCATCCTGAGACATCCCCTCCCCCCGTCCTCAAGAGAATTTGCTGGAATTTGTTTGTTTGCTTCCTTTCTTATCTATTTGTATCTTTTTTTTTTGTTAGTTCATAGCCCTTTTAGATAATTGCAGTGCTAGAGGTCTGACTCAGTGGGGGGCATGTCAGACCTCCACACAGAGTGTCCTAATTCTCCACAGGGAGCAATGGTCCTTCTTTGTACAATGTTGGCCAGGGACAGTCTTTTTTACTCAGGCTGTGGTTGCTTTCTATAGAAAACACTGAAAAACTTAGCATTCTTTCTGTTTTGACTCACCATATGGGGTGACAACAGTCCCTTTCTCCCAGTTGCCCTCCTGCACTGACATTGGAAACTGCCAGCTGTTTACCAAGGACGCCATGCAACTCATAGTTTCACTCAGTTCCCCTTCCTCCCATGCTATATAAGTCGTCTGATTGCAAAGCTTGATTGGAAACAGCTTGAATGTTGCTTCCTCTGTGCCCTGATGCTGTCAAAGACATAAATAGCATGGGGGGGTGAGGAACACCATCAGTTGCATGGTGTCACTCGTAAATAACTAACAATTTCCAATGCTGATTGCTGGACAACTGAAGCGTTGGCACAAGTCAAACATGGTGCTAGGCATTTATCAAGGTACATGTGTTTAATGTTCATTAAGTGGCTCTAGGGTGAAATTCAACTTTATTAATGACATTTGCATCTGATTTTCTTACCACTAATAGTTTCAAAAGGATAACATGGGAATATTGTGATATGGGCATTGAGCCAATAGTCTTTATGCAATTGTGAAGTAGACTAATTCAATACTAGACAAAGCTGGACAGTTCAACCTCAACGCAATTTAAAGGGTAACTCCACTTTTGTGGGGAAAAAATAGCAAAAAAGGAAAAAAAAAATAATAATATAGCATAGACAATTGTTATGCAAATCATATTGTAATTAGAAGTTATTCAAAATTGACTTTCCTTTTCAATCTGCATCACTGTCATTTTCTTTAAAATACAATGTACAGTACTTTGGCAACCTGGAGGCATTCTGTGGCTAAGTGGTTAGCACTTCCGCCTGGCAGCCCTAGGACCGTTGGTTTGAATCCCAACCACACCACCTGCTTGGAATTTGCATGTTGTGCCTGTGTGGGTTTCCTCCCACACTCTAAGTCTAGGTTCACACCTATGCAGGGTGCATTTTTGCGCGTTTTTTTTTTTTTTTTTTTAATTTTTCTTGTTGCTAGGCAGATTTTAAATGCAAAACGCATCAATAACATGGCAAAAATGCAGCAAAAACGCAATACATGCTTTTCTGCAGCATTCCCATTGAAGTCTAAAAACACAATGTTTTGCATTCAAAAAAGTCCCTGATCCAAAAAACCCACCGGGTGAAAATGCAGAGATGTGAACCTGTCCCATAGGAAATCATGCTAAATGGACTGTACTGCATTTCTGCAAAACGCTGCAGAAAACGCCTAGGTGTGAACCTCGGGTTAAGACTTGCTGGTAGGTTAAATGTCTCCTGTCTAAATTGGCCCTAGTATGTGAGTTAGGGACCTTAGATTGTACACTCTTTGAGGGCAGGGACTGATGTGAATGTATAATATATATGTAAAGTGCTGTGGTGTAAATTGACAGCATTAAGTACCTGAAAGCAAGAAAAAAGGTGTTGTACAGAATGCCCCCCAGAAATGTCATTTCCTGCTTGTGTGATTGACTTACTGATTTTTCCAGAAGTCTGCACTAAGATACAAATCAGATTATGGACATCCCCTGCAAAAAAAAAATCATTTTTAATTAGATAATCCCTAAGGGATGCAGACCCTGCCACTTTCCTAATTAGAACCCTGCAAACACAGCAGCTGATAAGTCAGGGGCATCCCTAGGGTTGGTGTCACCCGGTGCGGTAACACTTGGTGTCACCCCTCCGACGATCCCCACAGGATGGATTGGATCTGCGGAATGAGCATAATGTATCAGAGTCCGATCCATTATGCTCCCCAATCCACAGATCCGATCCATCCTGCGGGGATTGTCGGCTTGCAACCTATACGGGGTTAACTGATCTCTCCTTGAGCTCCACTAAAAGGTACGTTTTAAAGCAAGCCGACGATCCCTGCAAGATAAATCGGATCTGCGGATTGGGGAGCATAATGAATCGGACTGCGATCCATTATGCTCAATCCGCAGATATAATCCATCCTGTGGGGATCGTAGGCTTGCTTTAAAACTTACCTTTTCGCGGAGCGGGTCTGGTGTCACCCCGTGGGATAGGTGTCACCCGGTGCGACCGACCCCCCCCCCCCCTCACCTTC